CCTCCCCCCCACCCCCCCCCCCGCCCTCCCCCCAAAAAAGGAATTTGCATAACATTGTTCAGAGCGTTTACACGTGACGTCAAGGCGGCCATGTTGGTGTTCCAATCCAATCCAGTGGTAGTTGAACGCTTTCTTTTGTTCCAATAATTTTGCATTGATACTAACCATGTGAGTGAAAAGGCTTTATCATAGTCGTCCCAAGAGAAATTGAAGACAATGCCTATGTTGTATGATGGGCAATGTGAAAATGGTGAATTCCTTGGATTCTTTATTCGATTTTGCATCCGAACTTCATATATGATCAGTATGACTTCACTCCAGAGATAAAACCTGCCTTACAATATATACAATGGCTTACAATTAGACTCTATCTAAGTGTTAATTAAAAAGGCTAGAAAAAACAAAATTTACAACTAGTATTATTAAAAACTATAGCCTAGAACTAAGAAAAGGCTCGTAAAAACACAAATTTACAACTGTTTAGAAATAGTTAAAAATTTAAATATAGAAAAGGTGAATAAAAAACGGATGTATGGTAGACTACCAGCTGCCGGGCAGAAAAGAGGTTTTTCAATGTGCTCTTTCTGACTATTTGGATCTGGTGTTGTTCATAAAATCGACTTGTACCCATCCCTTCTCGATTTGAAACAAGAAAAACGCAGAAATTTATCGTTAGAGACAAAGATCACTTTATTAACTTTAATTTGTTCATTTTCCTCTAGCTTTACATTGCCCTCATGGTTGGACTGAGTTTCAACGTTCTTGCTACAAGGTGATGCCGGAAATTGAAAATTCCAAGATATTCGGCGTCTGGTTAAAAGCGTCGCGCGCGTGTATGGGTTATGGAGGTTATCTTGTTAGCATGACAAGTGAAACGGAAAAGGAATTTGTTCATAAACTGTTGTCTTCGGATTTAAAAAGCCCGCAATCTGCTTGGATTGGGTTGGTTCATCGGCTTCCGAAGGGTATATACTTATGGAGCGATGGAAGTTCTTTTAATCATTCTTTATCGGTCAAGTGGTATGGAAACACAACAAGTAAGGTCAAGTAAGCTTAATGGCAATGAGATCAAATGTGTGGAACTATTCAGAAATGGCTGGAACCTTACTGAATGTTGCAAGAACACCGACTACTACATCTGTGAAAAACCGAAAGGTGAGTTGCTTCTAAATACGTAAAGAAAGTAACCAAGCCTATAAAGCCAAATTAATTGCTCCTTTACAATAACGAATTCGTTGATGCTTGCAAAAATCGGTATTAACGCAACTTTTGTAAAGTTTTTTTGACTAAACAAATTTCGCGTTCATATGCTTTTGCAGTGCTCAAATATTTCATCCAATTTTCAGCCAATGCGAAGTACTGTTCTACCGTGCTGGACAAAAAAGCTTCAATATGTTCGCTTAGAGCCTGAGCTATTGCTCTGGTTGCCTGAATTTCAGCCGACTTCTCGAGTTGCAAACTCCCGAAAGAGATCGTTCTCCCTGTCTCGAACCCTGCTGCCTCTCAGTCCTCCGCAGAAGCTCTCGATGGGTATCCCTGTAAAAATAGCAATAATCGAAGACAAAAAATAGAAAGTGCGCGGGGGACGATGGGATGGTTGCGCGCTCTCTTTTTCTTTTTGAGGGAGACTTGAGAAAACGGCTAAAATTCATGTAGACTGCGAGCAGTCTCTCTTTTTCTTCAGGGCCGAGTTGTTCAAAGCTGGGTTAAGCTAACCCAGGGTTAGTGCTAGATTTGAATTCAGATTTGAACGCTTAAAAAGCATTTCAGTTTTAATTCTTTTTGTCTACAAGTTGATGATTTGAAGCTATAATTTAAAACAACAGAGAAAATTATCCGAGAAAATGCTTTTGAACATAAGAAAAAGAAACCTGGGTTAAATTTAACCCCGGGTTAAGCGCTAATCGGCCTTCGAACAACTGGGCCCAGATTTGATATGGGGAGTGCACGCGTGCAAGCGATGAGCGTCGAAGCCGCGAGAGACGCGGAAAACGAGGGCGGCAGCCGAAAAGAAAAAAGTCGTACCTCCCCTTCTCTCGCCTTCAGTCACGCGCGTGGTGTTATTGCGTGTCTCGGGCGTTTTGCTCGACGGACCAAGAAAAAAGAGAGACTGCTAGTAGTCTAAAATTCATGCAGGCTCTGACGCCAGTTGTTCAAAAATTAACTAACGCTATCCTACGGATGATTCTCTATCCGATGGCAGGAGCCGATTACTTGCCTATGGATAGTGTGACTGGTTGAGTTATCGACTACATAGTTACAAATTTTATTAGGAATAGGATGATAAGGATCTATGACAAAGATGTTTTTTCATTCGTAACAAAGGCGGCTCGAAAGAAAAAAAATCTGAGTACTTCAAAATGCGGTAGAACCTATGAGCTTCTGGTTGCTAGTACAGATGCTCTACCACTAAGCTACAGGATACTAGAGAGTGCTAAGGCCACTAAACTAGGGTTATGTGACAAACCAGGGGCACTCAACGAATATTTTCTCCAAAATATCTCCTTCAGAGAAACAAATAATTATTGCCTAAAGTTTTATGTTACTTGGGGACGGCTAAAAACTTCTAGATGAACGTTCCATTCATGAACAATTTTCGAAGCTTGTCCACTAAATTGCCTAAGATTTTCTCACGTTAAATTTTTCACATTTCACTCCCCAGGCTAGGATATTTTTCGTAAAAAAAAACCTACAATTTCGGATGCAAAATGTGATGGGGAGAGTAATCAGAAAAATTATAACTCTTGTTATACGTTGAATCGCTTTTAAAATTTTCGGGAAAATAATATACTGAAGTCCTTGTAATTTGGAAAGATTCACGTTCCCCTGGGATGATCGAAAAGATAAAAATTTTTATAGCGCCACTTAGAATGCACTTATAAAGGTCTAAAAGTGCTCTGGATAGCCAAAAAGTGTTGCCAATGTATTTAGGAGGAAACCGTCGTTGGGTGTCCCTGGCAAACATCCTGCATACTTCAAGGACTATAATCTCGGTATGTGCTTATACGCAATGATGGAGATGTGACGTTGAATTTTAAGCCTGGTGAATACATGAGAAAGAAATTTTTCAGTCACTAGGGGACACAGGCGGCTCTGAAAATTAAACGACATTCATTTGAAACCGTTATATTTAATTTGTCCTATCCATTAGGTCCACTAAGTTGCCCGCCTGATCATGATGAAGGACATCTGAATGGATTATCTTGCTACTACAAGCACAGCACTTTAAAAACATGGGAAGATGCAAAAAAGGACTGCACTGCTTCTGGAGGCAATTTGGTGAAAATAAATAGTACTGAAAACAAAACTGACACGGGATTCCTGACCCGCCTATTGGACACTATTAATTTCAAAGAGGTAGCTGAATTAAGTAAGAATGACCAAAAAACAGGTAGCACCACGAAATAAATATGGATATAAAAAATACAGCATTTGTCAGTTACTGAATAAAGCTGAGTATGATAACAACAATTATGCAGACTGAGGAGGGCTTTGACCCTGATTGAATTGGTTGGTTTTTTCCTATATCTCGCAAATATGGTAGGCTTCTGCTAATTATGAGAAAATACACGGGAAATTGATAGGGTAATCAGAAACGGCGAAAAATTTTGTAGAGGTACTCAATGCCTCTAAATCTTTACCTGTTAGCATGCCCTACTGAGAACCTATACTCGCAGAGGGTATAGAGGGACGCCTTATGACATGTTATAATCAATCACAGACTAACTAGTATGAATGTGGACTCAACCGCTGTTCAGTGATAGAAACAGGTCCTAGACAAGCTTCACATAATCTTCTAGGACGGCTCATCGCTGTTATCAGGCCCTATTTATTCAAAAGGTGCTTTGCGTATAGTTATTCACCTTTTGAAAAATTAGAGCCAGCCAGGGGACAATGAAACGTCGGTGGCTCAGGGGAAAGAAACGGAAAGAACTATAGTTAGTACATTATCATCACGATCATGATCATCATCGTCATCATCATCATCATCATCATCATCATCATCATCATCATCATCATCATCATCATTATTACTGATATCATTCGTTAGTTGCTGTTTTGCTTTTTTATTTTAAAGGACATTTGGATCGACCAAGGAAACAAATCTAAACTATGTGGCACAATCTCGAAGACAGATAATAGAAAGACAGACCGTGACTGTGGCCAAAGGCATGCTTATCTTTGTGAAAAGCCCGTCCCAGGTGTGATTTCATTATGGTGGTACACTTCCATTTGAAGGCTGCGAAGTAGCTTTAATTTAAAACAAATGAGGAAAGTAAGGTCTTCTTGTCATTATTTTTATATAAACTTTCATCTCGGCTTTTTACGCTGGTCAAAAACTGCACAAAACCAAAAAGTATCTCAGACCCTGCTCGGATCAAAAGAAGAAAAAACGTGTCTGTTGCCTATGTTTCTTTTTATAAAAATTCCTTTTCAAACAATCAGTAACATTGGTATCTGAGGGTACTTGCTAAAATGGCCTATATGGGGAGGCTTCGCCAGAAGGGGGCGCCTTTTTCAGGCTTCAGGTATATTAAAGAATAGGGGTTACTCTTATAAAGTATATAAAAGGTTCGGGAAATCTGTCATTGCAGTTCCAGGCGCACTCTGTGGCTGTGAAAAACATAAGAAAACTGTCTGGTTTAGCGACTTGTTCATAGCTTAAAGACGGTACATTTACAGCAGTTAAAAATGATGCAGCTTTCTAAATTGGTGTGTAAAAGGGGTGCCATTTGTCAATTAAAGGTATGCGAAAGGGGCCCGTTTTTTTGTCAAAAACTGGTATATAAAAGGGTAAGGAGTTGGACCTCGGGGCGGAGCCTTTCCCGTATAAAATTTTGTTGAGTACTTTCCCCTCTTACTTACGTGCTTTGACCTCCCCTCCCCACGCCTTGGTAATGTGGCAAAGTCTTTAGTCCAGAATTAAAAAACGTTGCTTTTTTCTTTAGGTAAAGTTTGTCATAATAAGTGCCCAGGGAAAATGTCATCTGTTCCCACTGAAGTCAATTGCTCATTTCCAAAAAGTCTCTGTTTCAAGTACAGTAATAAGAGCGCGAAAGATGGACAAGTCACCGAACAAGGGTGTATATCAGCTGAACTATGCAGACAAGTTGACAACCAAAAAGGCTTGGAATGTTGCCATGGTGATTTGTGTAATACAGGTGAAGCGGGAAAGGCTGATCAAAATCGAAGCTCTAATTACAGTTTGGATGCAGTGCTCAGTACATAAAACCCTATTCAGTTTGATCTCGCTTTTGGTTGTTCTGGAACCGACTGGCAACAATAATGTTCATGATAAAGTTCAAAGCGCACTCTGGCTGGTCGATAAAGCGTGCTTTATGGGAGCCTAAAACCCGGAGCTAAAGCTGTCATGCCCTGCCAATATAGTTTGTTTTACGTCTCGTGTTCGCCTTACACATCTTTTGTGCTCTTTCCGCTTCCTGAGTGCTTTACAACAGAGCAAAGCACAATCAAAGCTTTTTTATTTGTTAAGCACAGTAATGGACGATTTTAAATTGTTTTTGGCAAATCAGCAGTGTATATATCAAATACAAAAAAAGTCTAGGATTGGAGAAGTTAAGGGACGTGATGAGGTGATATGACATATAGGTTACGTCATCCCTCTGATTAATGGCCGAGTCATCATCTTGATGACATTCATCACGTTTAGAAAAGTTTGAAAGCAGGACTAAATTGAATCAAAATCAACAGATAGATACCAAAATGATTGAAAGTTTTTGAATTGATCACCAGGGAAATATGACATTGATTTTCACTGTATAGTTCTCAGTATTTATTTATTTTATCATGATATTTATCAATGATCTGCGACGTATAAAAAAGTTCTTAAAATGAAAATAAAAAGTCCCCGAATGTTATCCTTTCTTAAAGGGAAATAGCACATATTTATCAGTAAAAGTGACTAGGGTTAGTGATTTCGGCGCAAATTTCTCGGTCTAATTGTTCGAAATTGTTGTTTTTCTCCGTTCCAACAATATCCTGCTATGGATGTGAAAACAGTTCATCTCTTGATGAATGCCAAAAAAACCAAGACGACGTAGATTGCCCCATACCTGTTCACTACTGCGCAAAAGTTAAGTATCAATCGATAACAAGAGAGGGCAAAATACAAACCTCTTATCGCTACGGATGTGTTACCAAAGATCAGTGTGATGCGACCTATGAAAAGATTGTAGATTGCTGCAAAGGCGACAAGTGTAATACAAGTAAGAAGAAATTATATTTTATCTTAGAAACAAGAATCGCCGAAAGGCAATTTTTAACGGGACTGCCAAGGGGCTATTTTTTCTGAGGGGAGGGGGCGGTTATACACACTCAGGCTACCATAAAGCCTTGTCAGAATCTCATGTGAGACTGAAACATAAACTCATTCAGAACACTGTACCCTTTTGAAAGACTTTCGTGACAAAAAAAATGAGTACCATTTTTAAGTGGGGGCTATATAACAACTTTTAAATTCCACTATTATGAATAAAAATAAACAAGTTAGCGATAATTTTAAGCAGGAAACGATTTGCATTTTTTTCACGCACCCCTCCCTCAATCCCTCTGCCCCCCAATATATAGCGCGACAGTATAACGTGACTAATTTTGACTTAACCGGAAATTCCAAAACTCATTGTTGTTCTACAAGTATAAAATGCGACAGGGGCAGCTACTCGCCACTGGGCTGATTTACACTAGACAGAAATATTGTTTTGTACGAAAACCAGAAGTTTACTAAAACAGACAGCCAACTGCCCATTGATCCCGATGCGGGGGTCTCACTGTCTGCAACCCTCAGACTTTAAATAGACGATACTAAATTGCGGTCTACAGTCTACATGAAAACGCACTTTTTTTTCCACAAGAAAAAAAATATTCAGCTTCAAGATTTTCCTCTTGTTTTTTTACTCTAACTTAAAGGAATAAAATCCTCGCTTGCATGTTGCTTTCATCAGCACGTACTTTAAACAATGTAAATAGATGAAACGATTGCTAACATATTTTTTACCTGATACCGATGTGAGTTAAAAATTCGCTCGAGTTCGCTGTTTGTCTTACCCATGACTAACTTTTCCTCATGGCAGATTTATAACTGTGCCGCTTTATAACTCCTCCGAAGTTTTCGTGCCAGCTAGTAAACAATATGGAAACACTATTCACAGTCCTTGGATATTAAATAGACTGAACGTAACGCACTATGTGCCCATGTTTACTTCTGATCACATGTGCACGAACTCTCTCTTTTCAAGCAATACGTCTCAGTGCACAATAATTGACCCTTACATTAAGTATATAAAACCCTTTGGTTCATTCATATTAATACTGTTTTTGCCCCTCACATTTACTGTCTTCGTTCGTATTCAAAACACCTTTTGGAAAATAAAGGTCGTGTAAGTCATGTGTATTATGTTTCGAGATAAATGGCTTATACTCTTTTTTAAGTTCCCATTTTACGGTGACTTCAGTTTACATCTCCATAAAATGGTACAAGAAACATCAAGAAACATCACGCAAGCTGAAAATTTACAAAGGCATGTTTTTTGAAACTCGCTAATGCTGACATCAATATATCGTGCTTGCTGAATGGGCGAAAACACAGAATTGTGTACAAGATACAGACAAAAGCAAACCCCTGAAACCTTGACCTGGGCTACACTTGTATGCTCTACTCAGTCACCAAACCTTGTCAGTAATAGTTCCTATTTTCCTCAAGTTAGTCTCTGTCAAACTCCCGGATGGGATGTCCCGGTGAAGCTTTGAACTTGTGTGCAAAATTCTCGAAGTGCGTATTTTTGTCCGTGTCTTCTTTATCCTCAGTATCCGAATTTTAGACCTCCAAAGTGGCGTGTGTTGCATTAAATAGAAAGAAATATTTAAAGGAAAAGCCAGTCTTCTAACATGGCAAAGTTGTCACGTCCCTCGCTCATGGACGTCCATTTTATAACATCAGGTTCATCTGACATTCATCGGCAACTGAGTTGTTCGCCTCACTGAGTACGATACAATCAAGTCTTCAGCCATAGTGTCGTCAACTGGTGAAATACTTTGCTTATTAATTCTGCGTATTAATTGCTCATGTACTACATCGATCGATAATTTTCTCTTTGCGTTCACGAAACGACCCCGGCGTTCCAAACCTGACGCTCACAGTCATCTTTTAGCGTGAACCTACCGTGAACGGTGTGTGGGTTTGTAGGCAACGTGAGCATTTCTCTGAGTTTTCAAGCGCCAACATTATGAGCAACTGACTTAAACTCGAAGAGTGACAAAACTTGTAGAGTGACGCCTATGATCGAATCGCTTTGAACAACGCAAATAGCCTTCTTCAGGTTCGCAGCGCCTTCTTGGGGGGTGGGAGGAGACGAGGTACAAAAAGTATTCGTGCAAGAGTCCGTGCAAGGGAAAATCGTATGAAACCATTTGCGAGAACATCGTTTCTCGGTACCAGAACCTCGTGTCTTCCCTCCCCCGGGGGACCGTTTTTCTGCACAGACGACCGAAAACCGAATTTATAACTGGGCAGCCCTAAAAGGGGGCAGCCCAGTAAAGAGCATACTTTTCAATCTCGTTCCCAGGGACTTCTCGTTTTCAAATGGCGGCGGCATATTGGAAAACGAGAAGACCCTTGAACGAGGTTTTCATAGTTTGAGTCTTGTTTAAAAAGAGGCAGCCTAGCCGTAAGTGGTGTAGTAGGGATGTTTAAGACTTCATTTTCGCTGGAGAAATCTCATTAAGTTGCGGGGGAATACATTTACGCCAATAACAGCTTAGGCTTTTGTCTTCATATTTATTATTCATTCAAAATATTTCCCCGATTCTGATTGGCCAAAAGCACACGCATAATTCACCATAACCAGTTGCTGATGACCAAGTTTGGAAGAATTTTGTGTTTAACGAGGAAATGACGTCAAAAATGCAGCGTTCATGCAGGTTAAGGCACCGTTAACCAAGAAGACCTGGGGACGAGGTTGAGTTGTTTTGGTTGTGAAAACAAAAAATGGCGGACATTTTACTTGTTTCAAGAGTAAGAACTAGGCGAAAAAATAGCTAAAAACATGGCAAGAACAGCAAGAAGACAACTCGAAGGGCGACATCTGCTATTAGGAGAATATTTGCGGAGCTGGACAAACCTAAACGTGCACTATCGAAGATGAACTTAACATCGATGGATCGATGGAGGTAAGCATGTTTTAGCCATGTTTTTAAACTAGGAATTATTTTGAATGAATAATAAAACAATTACTGAATTTGGCTTTCGTATCATATGACGAATTATGGAGATCTCAGGGGGTGTTATCCTCCATAATTCTTCATAAGATACTCAGCCTCATTCATAAAACATGAGTTAAATGCGTGGTAATCTCATTAAGATAACATGGATATCTTAGGGTGGATTAGCTGGTTTCACAGGTTTTAGATTATTGTTGGGTCAAAGAATGCCTTGGTTTTTGATTGAAAACCTAAGAAAAGTATTCATTAAGTTTATTCATTTTGTCGAAGGAGTAAGCGCTAACTGGCCTGTGACGTAATAGAGACCTTCTGAGTATTGCTCACGCGTGAACCAGCGTCTTTTGGGCGGGAAAACGTGATAGCTTTCGTCATTCTACTACGAGTTTTAGCAAGAATGTCGTAGTGGCGGGAAAACGTAATCAAATGTAAGAGGTTTTATCATTTTGCCATCGGGAGAGTGCATAACCTCCTTCAGTATAAACCGGTACTAACTTTTTTAGTGAAAAAAATACACCCCAGAAATCGTCATTTCGATTTTTTCATTTTGAGGCACTAAAACTTTAAGTTAAATCTCGTACTCGTACTCGCTCTTGTCCTCAAATCTAAAGCTCTCTAAGATCACTGAGTCGTAACGTAATTATACAAGTTCATTTCCTGTCGCTTTCATTGTCCATTGAGGAAAACAAATTGTTCCAGCTCTGGTTCACCGATTTTTGTCACGAAAATAGTGCAGATTATTGAGGGCGAAGGTAAACTAGCTCTTTCTACCACGAAACGCATTTTTTCTTAATTACTAGAAGGTATTTGAATGTAGTGGTAGTGGTGACGGTGATGGCGGAGGGAAAGCAATGGAAATGTGGTGGAGTAGGTTGTGGGAAAAGAAAAAATTGAGGAGGCGCGAAATAAATGAATTGTAGAGAAGCAGGAAGTGGGGGGAGAAGACTTGGGATGGAATCCTTTGGGACCATTATCCAGATGATTGATCTAAGTAACTCGTAATGATGCATCAGCGGAACCAAGGAATCCACTCTGGACAAGGATTTATCGGTTGCTTTTATGCACTATGATCGGAGTGATCTCGGGTCACCGATCCTGATCCGGAACATCCCGAAAGAACCTTCCTCGCAATTCTTGCAATAGGCTAAGGCGAAAAAAAAAAAACTCGCCGAAAAATTCACTTTTTCTTCATCTCAGTTAGACAGTGACCCATTATAAAAAATGTATTTTGTCGCTATTTTAGACTCAGGTCCACGGTGTTACGAATGTACCGATCCTGTAAAGTTTGAAGAATGCGCAATTGGTCGGTGCATTTTCAACAGTGGAAAGTGTTATTACTCTGGAAAGCAGCAAGATCCCTTCGTTTACAATAAACATGGATGCATTCAACCACAATATTGCAACAAAATCGCGGAGGATGGAGTTTATAATCTCGTACCCAGATCTCCCACGGCCAAGGGAAATTCCTCAAAACAGGCTTTTTGCTCAATTTCACTCGCCACAGACAGAGAAAATGAAACATGAACTTATTAGCATGCAGCATTGTTTCAGAGTCATGCAAACAGAGAGTAATATTTGCTACAGTGCATTTGGCATGGGGGTCGACTCTCCTTGTGTTGAAAGGACAATTCATTTTGGTGTCTCCCAAACTATGGAGAGTTTTTTTCAAGAAAGTGGGAGAGCTGGAAGAGATGGGAGGCCTGCTACATCAATTCTTTACTTCAACAACAATGATATTGGTGCAAATGTTGAAGGAATACAACCTATTATGAGAGATTACTGTAAAAACCCTCAAAATGTCTGGAGAGGAAAAATTGTGCTTAGCCACTTTGGTTTTGGCATTCCAAGTCCTCGAGACAAACACAGCTGCTGTAACATAATGTCGAACTGACTGTGAGTGCTCTGAATGTGTTGAGCTACATCGAGATGTTTTGGTCCTTGTAAACATTCACATGCCTGATAATGAATTCTTTCTTCTCTCTGGAAAACAGGTCGAAGAGATAAAATCAGAACTTATAAAATATAAAGAAGAAATTGAGGCCAGCGATAACCATTTGAATTTAAGTACATGTATGTGTTCAGGATTAACAATGAAAGTAATTAATGATGTTTGTTCAACACTTCAAGAACTCTGTTCTCTTGACAGAATTACGGAAAAACTACCGGTTTGGAGAAAAGAACATGCAGAAAAGATTATACAGATTATAAGTAATGCCACATCCAAATAGGCTTAAAATCCTCCTTGAGAAAATCTGCAAAACATTAGGTACCATAAATAATTCTGATAATATTTTGTTGTGATAATTTAACTGAGGGAGCCCATTCCTTAGAAGTTAAGTGGCATCCCTTGGGCTTCTCACCATTAGCTTTAAATACTTAAATTTTCTTGTTTTTGTACATCCTTATGGCAAAACTATAAACTGAACTGAATTCCATTTTAAAGTTCCTCCTTTTAACGCAGTAGATGGGGAAAAAATTCTACTTTTGTTATAACATGTGTATTTTACTTAGTCATCTGCATCAGACGATTCAGATTCTTCATTTTCAGGAACTATAGATTGACCTCTTGCAAGCTGTCTCTTGTGATTTTCAAGCCAACGCAAGAATTCACCCAAGTCAATCTTCTCTCTCACACTCTTCAGCATATCAGGGAATGAAGGATGAGGCCCATGCATTGGGTCGCATTTGAATGGCCTTAGCAACCTCAGATCCCCCAGCATAATGCCTTCATCTCTATCAGCACTTTTTTTAGTGTGAGCAGTTTTCAGTGGCTTGACATTTGAACTCTCATCATAAGCATGCAGGGATTCACTGACTCCAGTGACTGCCATTGAGCTACGAAGCACAGCCTTCTCAGTCTTATATTTGCCCCCATTGAAGTTATCAGATTTTTTGTGCTCTTGATGGTATGCTCCATTTCTAAATCATTTGCAATGTTAACTCCAATTTTCCCTTTCTTGTTGGTCCCTCTTCCCCAATCACACGTTTGGACACCTGGTGGGTCAGCATGCACTTTACTGAAGTTAGGAAGTACATTTCTTTAATTGCATACTTTGACAATTTGTTATTGGCTTTGAAAACCCACANCACATCCAAATAGGCTTAAAATCCTCCTTGAGAAAATCTGCAAAACATTAGGTACCATAAATAATTCTGATAATATTTTGTTGTGATAATTTAACTGAGGGAGCCCATTCCTTAGAAGTTAAGTGGCATCCCTTGGGCTTCTCACCATTAGCTTTAAATACTTAAATTTTCTTGTTTTTGTACATCCTTATGGCAAAACTATAAACTGAACTGAATTCCATTTTAAAGTTCCTCCTTTTAACGCAGTAGATGGGGAAAAAATTCTACTTTTGTTATAACATGTGTATTTTACTTAGTCATCTGCATCAGACGATTCAGATTCTTCATTTTCAGGAACTATAGATTGACCTCTTGCAAGCTGTCTCTTGTGATTTTCAAGCCAACGCAAGAATTCACCCAAGTCAATCTTCTCTCTCACACTCTTCAGCATATCATGGAATGAAGGATGAGGCCCATGCATTGGGTCGCATTTGAATGGCCTTAGCAACCTCAGATCCCCCAGCATAATGCCTTCATCTCTATCAGCACTTTTTTTAGTGTGAGCAGTTTTCAGTGGCTTGACATTTGAACTCTCATCATAAGCATGCAGGGATTCACTGACTCCAGTGACTGCCATTGAGCTACGAAGCACAGCCTTCTCAGTCTTATATTTGCCCCCATTGAAGTTATCAGATTTTTTGTGCTCTTGATGGTATGCTCCATTTCTAAATCATTTGCAATGTTAACTCCAATTTTCCCTTTCTTGTTGGTCCCTCTTCCCCAATCACACGTTTGGACACCTGGTGGGTCAGCATGCACTTTACTGAAGTTAGGAAGTACATTTCTTTAATTGCATACTTTGACAATTTGTTATTGGCTTTGAAAACCCACAAAAGGTATTTCCAATTAATAACATTTCTATCTCCATCACCTTCATGAATTGTGTCATTCAGTTGCATAAGAACTATGAACAGTTCAATCAAAGAGAGGCCATAATTCTGGACTTTGTCATCGACTGTCACACTCAAGTGGAAAACATGGTAGTCATTAAACTTCCCAAGCACCTTCTCAAAGTGTTCCTTCTTTGTCTCCAAGAATGCATTTTGTTCAGGCAAATTTTTTGTTAGCCATCACTTTCAGTGTTTTCCATACCAAAGAATTCTAGGAAAGCTTCCACTAAGTAAGCCCTTCCAGCTGACACAAAGAACTCCTCATATGCATCAGGGTTGTTTTTGACAGTTGTTGGAACGTTGTAGCGTATAATACGCTCTCTAAAATACTTCAGTGTACCAATTTCACGTGTTGAATTCTGGTTCATCAGGACATCATTAATGAGCGTAGTTACTAAAACAAGGAATGACCTACAATGATCTACAATGACCTACAATGATCTACAATGACCTACAATGACCTTCAATGATCTACAATGATCTACAATGACCTACAATGAGCTACTATGACCGAACGTGTAATCCCTGTAATGAGCTAAAATGAAGATTTTAGAAAAAGACAAAAAAAAGATCAGGGGACATGTGTTCCTAAACGTAACGCGTTTAGTCTACTGCATGACAGGCCATATAACGATGACAGCATCTCTAATTATTACGCTTGGAGATAAATTTACAGTGTAATTATACATGTATGATGATACTGTGACTTTTGTCCAAACCATCCCTTGCCAACCTTTCTTTATTTTGTCTTGTCTTTTTTTCAAACAAATTGAACAAACACAGTCACCGCAACAGTCGATCCGGGGAGGTCTTCAAGGGACGTAAGGGTAGAGATGAACAAAGGAGGCCTTCAAATTCTGACCCTGTTCAAAAGAAAAATGGTTCATTTTTTTAAGTACCCTGGCCTGTATAAGACATCATAAGACCCTTTAAATGGCTTTCGGTCCAACAGGATGCTCTGTTTGTAACGCTAAATAGTAAAATCCATATCCTGCTCAGCGGCCCATACCCATCTACGCCAAATAAGGGAGTGCCTGCATGACTTCCGTCAATACAGGGTATAATAATGCTATACCGGTAAAAACGCGATTGCAATAATCTATTTTCAACTTTCTCAAGTTACCTGAGATCACGCACAATTTTTGTTTTGCCTTTTCAAAATGTGCTTGGCAATTTAATACCATGAGCCTAATGTCACGTCCAAGCATGACACACGACAAACATCATTGTCTGTCATTTTGTAGCTCGTTGTAAGGCTTATTTTAACTCATTGTAGCTCGTAGTAGCTCATCGTAGATCATTGTAGACCATTGTAGGTCATTGTAAGCCATTGTAGGTCATTGTAGGTTATTCCTTGTTTTAGTAACTTCGACACACGTCCCCTGATCTTTTTTTTTTGTCTTTTTCTAAAATCTTCATTTTAGCTCATTACAGGGATTACACGTTCGGTCATAGTAGCTCATTGTAGGTCATTGTAGATCATTGTAGGTCATTGTAGGTCATTCCTTGTTTTAGTAACTACGCATTAATGAGCTGACAATAAATACAAAACAATAGTAATTATTGTTATTTAAATTGTGTATTTTATTTTGCCAAGTAGAATCCAAACTCCACAATTGAAAAGTGAGCTATGAAATGTCCCTTAGCCTTTTTTATTCAATGTGTTAAGAACTGTTTTGTATAAAGAAGAGTTGAATATTACTATCATTACAATTTAGATATAGTATTAGGAAACTTAAAGAATTCAACTATCTCTTATGCTCGACAGTTGTTGAACAGAAAAGGGCTGGATTAAGTATAAAAATCCAAATAATAGTATTTAACTCTTCAACTTCAACTTCAACTTCAACTTCAACTTTATTTCATAAGACTATTGGTTACAATAGACTGGCCCGCAAAATAGCAATTGCTAATCTAGGCGGACCAGTTAAAAGAAAAATAAATTGAAAGGAAAAGAAAGGAAAGGAAAAGGAAGGAAAACTACAATTTTAAGTTACAATAAATAATATTCTATCACAGTTTTATTTTAATTACTGTAGTCGAGGAGTTAGGTGATCATACAAGTTAATATGACTGATATCAAAATCGTCAGGGAAGCCTAACTGTGACGCCTCGAGGTTCTCCAATCTCCTTCGCGCAGCCATAACTTTTCCCTTTGCCAGTCTTCGAGTAAATTTGCAAACGATAGCATTCGGCCTGTTCGAGGCAGAACGGCTCGGTATCCGATGAGCAATATCGATGTCGTTAAGCGAAACATCTTCAACTCCAAAGGCTTCAAACAGCCTAAGGCAGAGAGTTACAGTTTGATCGGAGGTTTCATTTTGCGTTGTAGCTGGCATACCCACAATTTTAACATTAAACAGGTAACTGTATGCTTCAAGAGTGTCGATGGATTTAGCAATTCGGTCGCAGAGAATGGAGATTTCGGCGACTCTAGTAAACAGTTGTTTGATTTGCTTCACCGCTTCGTCTTTGAAGGCGACAAGGTCGTCATATTTACTGGAGACGAATTCAAGCGAATGAGCACATTCTGACGACATTTTCTTCTCGGCGTCCGGCTTCGTCAGCTCCGCTTTCTTTGACGAAAATTCTTCGGAAATTTTCTGGAGTTTTTCTTTCAATTCAGCTATCTCATTTCGTAAAGATTGATTTTCCTTCCTCAGCTTTTCATTCCCGGTCATAATTGGCAGAAGAAAGACTCAAATTCTAATCTTAGCTCGGAGAGCTCTTAAACACACGTCCGACCAGTACAAGCACCGCACCAGTTCCAGTCACCATATATATATTACATATGTTGTATAGCTGTACTTACAATGCTTGCTTTGTGTGAAAGAGCTCTATAACATCAGGCTGAGAATGTTCCAGTCGGTCCTTAGAAGTGTGAGCTCCAGCCCTTAGTTTACGCCCATACGTAAAACGCACTCTTGTCAACTGATCGCCACGAGATGGACAGTTAAAGTCAGCTGGGATGTAGGTTTCTTGTTCAGGACCTTCATTATCTGTAGCTGCTTTAAATATTGTTTCACATGTGGCCTCATGGCTAGCCAAAATGTCTACCACATCAGCATTTTTTTTTTTTTTCATCTTAGAATTGAATTGGCAGTGGTAACACTTCTGACTTTGAGCTCATTTCTTTAGTGTACCTGTGCAGAATGTGCTGTGGTACCAGCTTCTTAACTGCTGCAAATTGAGGTTGTTTGAAGAATTCTAAAAAGATTCTCCCCACAAGAACTTTGAAATCTGACTGAAGTTTCTTGATTTCCTCTGAGGTAAGGAGGTAATTCTCATTAGAAAAATTCTGAATGTCAGCAAGTGGCCTAATGCTTGCAAACCAGTTGTGCTGCTTGTTCCTGTGATCTACCCTCGTGCTCTACACTGTTGTTTTGCAGTTCAAATTGTCATTAACAGTGTAGGATTTCTTTCCTGCTTTGACCAGTTCAACAATTTTGTCATGAAAGTGTCCTCCAATGAGGTCCAGTAGATTGATCATAAAGGTGTGTGACAACAAAACCCCTTGCTTTTCTAAACGTCCATGTCTGAAATGAAAAAAACAAATGATAGTCATCATCAAATTAAATAAAACTCTAAAAGAACCCCGGAGGAGGTACTTCCAAATAAGAGGCTAATGTGGATGTGCCGCTGGATGGGGTCGCATTTTCACGACTGGACTGAATATAATGGGTCGCATTTTCAATAGAGTTACTAGAATGGGGTCGCACATTTTCTGATTTTTGGGGTTAGGCAGTTCTTCATCTTTACGGTTAGCGAACGTACCAGAATGTTTGCACTGTAGTTGAAAAGTGAAGTGTTCTTCATTCAATGTAAGATAGATACATAAATAGAAAGTGACTAAGTTGGGATTGCGAAAATTACATATTTGCCCAAAAGTGACTAAGATGGGGTCTATATAAATTGGCCACAGAATAGGCTATAATGGGGTAGGGGCTCTGAGAGGCCAGCGGCACTTACAAAGCGAAAATTAACCCAAGTAGCCCCCCCCTCGCGGAAAAGAACCTGATGAAATGCATTATTTTATATATGATCCTCTTGTTTTGATGGGAAATTAGTGCTACAGGTTGACAGAGTTACAAGGTATTGCACAAAGAACATAAGGTCTAGCAATATAGAATTGTCAATACGACCAAAAGTCATCAACCATGATGAAGAGTCCTAAAAAAGGGAGAAAAAAAAGCTATCCATGGCTGTAAAGGGTGAAAAGGCTGTGCATTGGGTAATAATCTAAAATCACTGTCTCAACATCAAAAATTTTTTTTAACTATCATTAACCCAGTACAGATTATTATGACACTGGTACACTGTAACACAATGCATGCCTCAGACATTGTTTATTTGTCAGATAAAAAAAGAAACTTACTATCTTCTCTGCATGCCCATGACAAAGAACCAAGGTGTTCATTCGTTGCACCAGGCTGAGCTGTTGGTTAGCCTGAAGCATCATCACTGCATATGCCAGACCAATTGCTGGTATCCTGCTTTCTCCTTTCTTAGTTTTATTTACTGTCTCCCAAAGTGCTGGTGCGCATATTGTCAAAATGAAGTCAATGACATCGGGACACCTCCTATGACCTTCCTCCACAACTTTTAGCCACGAAAAGGTACGCAAGGCCTCATAATTGTCTTTGAGGACAGCAGGCTTCCCACCCTTTTCAGTCTTTCCAAGATTTTCACACTGCGCTGCAACATCCAACAGAAATTTCTTCTTTAAGGAATCTCTTAAAGATGATGCCCATATTGCATCTGTAAGTATCTGGGCATTCCTCAGTGAAAGAGCAATGCTTAGCTGGGATACTTTACCCTCCTTTAGTACTAGGCGACGACTATTGAACTAGGAAAATAAATTTTGGTGAGTTAGAATTGTTATGAAGGTAAGAATAAGCTTATCTGTACAAAGAGCACTAATGTATGTGTAACACTGTGGTCTGTGTTTTTTCAATGAGTTTATTATGACACACACCCAAAAGATCACAGTGCCTGGTGCAAAAATTAAGAAGCTGCATCTCTAACTGCCATACACGTCTATAGTATACCAAATGACTGTAGGATATAGAATTCACATGCAATAAGCAGGGAAAAGTAAAAATGGTACAATTTTTGAGAAGATGTACGTAATTGCCAGTATGCATACATTTTCTTTTTATCGCAAGAGAGAAGGGAAAGAAAAATAATTACAAAAACAGCTTGCAGTAAGGGACTGATCATTATTTAGAGGTAGTCAGGGCTGCTGCAAATAGGGAAAGGGTCCATGATTTGGGAAAAAAGAGGGGGAGGCAGATGAATTTATGCATGTATCTAAGCAACATCAGAGCCATGGAGGGAGCAAAGGGTGGTTGGTTTGTTGTCACCATAATCTTTTACAAACAGAGTTACCAGCACACGACAACTTGATTTAAAGCATTTTAATTACCTTTGGGTTATTGAGTCCTGCTTTCTCTAAAGAAAAAGCTTGAACCGGTTGGAAGATTTTGGTGGGCTGGATGGCCTATACAAATAAAAATCAAGAAACAATAAATTAGCTGCATATTTTGGTAATCTTTCAAACTGATTTATTTCTGTACCTTTGGGTTCTTAATGCCTGCCATCTGTGAAGGATCAGTTGAAACTAGTTGGATTTTGGTTGGCTGGTTGGATGGAACAGCCTGAAAAGTACATAAACATAATTTAGTTGATGAGTAGCTAGAAATCCTGAGCAGCCCACCTTATGCCTATATAGCTTATCTATAACGTGACATTCCAATACGATTCTTACTTTCGGGTTATTGCCCGGCTCTTTATGACACACAAGCCTTTTAACTGGCGTTGGAATTCTGGAAATTTTCACATGCGAAACTGAGGCCACATTCATACTCTGAAATCACAAGACATTCAATTTGTAAGGAATTGAGACTTAAAGTTAGGCACCTGTAGTATAAGTTAAAACCGGTAGTAAGTACTCTCAAGTTGACTTACCTGATTTCCTTGTAGTACATGTATGGCAGAAGCAGAACATCTTGTATTGCTTATGTTCACCTCCTGATCACTTGTTTGCTGGTTACCGAAAGGTAGACGTTTTCGTGCTGAAGTCACCATTGAGTGAGGTATTTTTCTTGGCTTTTCGGTGCTTTGGGGAGTATTTCTTGTCCGAAACCGTTTCTTGATGTTTTCTTCTCTACTTGTTTTCAGTTCGCGTTCAAGTTCCTTCTGTGTACTCTGGCAGGTCGAGGCAAATATTTCTAAGTTCTTGTTTAGGCGAAAAACTTTATCATGGCAACTTCTGCAACAAAACTTAGGAAGTTCGTCCCTCTCTAAGACTTCAATTTCACCTACTCAAAGAATAATCCTTTTTACCTGTAACGCCTTTCCACTATCGCTGAAAAAATAGTTTTTTCTCGTGGTCTTCTCACCACACAACCGGCACTTACTTTTTTAAATATCGTCTGTCAAATTTTAGGATCCTTCCATGTCTCTCGACGGCTAGGCTTTGTACATTATGCTAGCATTTTTTCGAGCATTTTAGTGAGGCAAAAGCATTGAGCATTATTCGAGCATTTTAGTGGCATTTTCTCGGAAAATTAATTTTTTGCGAGAAAATAAAATAGAAATTAACTTATAACATAGCGCGCGTGCTTACCCTATATAAGTCCTATTGAGCCGCTATGAACAAAATGTTTATTTACGCACGCCCGTGCGTAAATAAGATGACGTAAGCATTTTTTTTTACCTGGCTGCAGTGTTGTCGTCTTTTAAGCTACAGTGCAGTTTTCCTTCTCTATAAAATATGGAAGAAACCAGCGAAGAACTGCCCAATTTTTCTATCGGCATTGACCTTTTAGGTCCTGATCCAACAAGCAGCAAAAATAGAGCCGAATTAAAACAAACTCGCATGTTGCACGTTTCGCAAATTTGTCGGAAGACCAGCTGCAGCAAATTTTTGTCCGAAAAACATTCACTGGGAACAGAACAGACACCAACTGGTCATCAACAACATTAAGAGGTTAAATTTCCGTTTTTATTGTTGTTTTTAAATTTGTTATACACTTTTGTTATCTCCGGACAATCCGACTGAAGCAGGAAGATTTCTCTCGCAATAACAACACAAATTACACAAGAAGACATAAATTTATTACTCACAAAAACAACTGCTGCCAGGTCTTCTCACGAAGCCGTAATGACCAGCCAATGTTTGTAAATGAATATGAGTTTAAAGAAGGATGACAGTCGTCTTCGCTAAAAACATGTTTTCTGGATTTCGCCGAGCAAAACATCTTTTCAGCAAATCCAAACCATACTCCACGACTTCTTACGAATATGTTAGTATTTTAACTTTAGGTGAACTTTAAGACTCTTTTACCTTTGTTTCTGCTTAGTTTCCATTGATCGTTAACGAATAACGAAGCAAATTTTCTTTCTCAGTTTTACAGAAAAGATATAGAAAAAATATTTTCATTCAAACTAGATGATTGTGGTGTGTTCGTAATCAGCCAATAGAAGCGTTTGTTATTGTGTAGCGCGTTACGAGAATTTTGGAGTTAATCAAAAAGCAAGCATTTTTGTCAGCTATGTTATAAAATAATTTGCTCATGCTTTTAGCTGTGCGTATATCGAGTTATGGATGCACTTGGGAAGTTTGGAGAGCACTCAAGAAGCTAGAGTTGCACGAGGCGACGCATCTTTCGTGCTCTCCAAACTTCCCGCGTGCATCCATAACTCGATATACGCACGCTAAGCATGAACAAATTCTTAAGTTTTTCAGGAGCCCATGGCCATGGGCTCCTGCTTTTTTAATGAAAATGAAGACTAAAACTCAAAATTCACGAAAACACCTAATACAGCTGAGTAGAGACTGAAGACAAGTCAGCGGTTTTACCTATCAAGACTCAAGAGAAAATTAATAAAAAAAATTGTTTGTACAATGAGCATTATCTGAGCATTTTAGTGACTTTTTGGGGGAGACCGAGCATTTTAGTGGGAAAAATGGAGCATTAAGGTGGATCATTTTAGTGGGGAAACAAAAGCATAATGTACAAAAGCCTAACGACGGCTCGAGCGGCCACCCAAAAAAACCGCGAAAATTCGGAACCGTTAAAAGAGCCAATCATAGAGCTTGTTTTATCAACGCACAACTTTTAGCAGGAGCCAATGAAAAATGGCCTTGTATCCACCTTTACCAGATCTCACTTTTCAGTGTGAAACAGAGTGAGATCTGGGTACGAGATTAGGAAGTTTATACAATAAAGGTTGGTAAAAGAGAAATACTATATTCTTTAGTATGCCAATGACGTGTTTTTTTAAAGCTAAAGCTGTCACGTCCTGCCAATATAGTTTGTTTTACGTCTCGTGTTCCCCTTACACATCTTTTGTTCTCTTTCCGCTTCCAGAGTGCTTTACAACAGAGCAAAGCACAATCAAAGCTTCTTTATTTGTTAAGTATAGTGATGGAACAGGAGCACCCAACGAGGATATGGTTCAAAATCACTTAAACATGCATTGTTGATCATATTTTAGTATTTAAACGGTAGATATAGGCATCTTTTTGTCCCCTAAAACTTTTGATGTGTTCGGATTTCCTAGGTGAAAGTCTAGTGATCCGAAAATTATAGGGGTCAAAACTTACCTTTTCGAAAATTTCAGCCCGAAAAAAGGCTCCCGGAAATTCTAGGTGACCTTTTTAGGGTAAAAATCCGTGAAAAATGGGCAATTATACCACTTTTTAGATGTTCGAAAATCCGAGGAGAAGCAGGCAAGCAAGAAATTTTACAACAAATGTTTCGAAAATTGTAGATCTCAAATCGTCTTCCGAACAGATATTTTCCAAAAATTGACATTGGGTGCCCCTGATGGAAGATTTTAAATTGTTTTTGGCAAATCAGCAGTGTATCAATCAAATAAAAAAAATGTCTAGGATTGGAGAAGTTAAGAGACGTGATGATGTGATATGATATATAGGTTACGTCATCCCTCTGATTAATGGCCGAGTCATCATCTTGATGACATTCATCACGTTTAGAAAAGTTTGAAAGCAGGACTAAATTGAATCAAAATCAACAGATAGATAGCAAAATGATTTAAAGTTTTTAAATTGACCACCAGGGAAACATTACACTGATTTTCACTATATAGTTGTCAGTATTTATTTATTTTATCATGATATTTATCAATGATCTGCGACGTATAAAAAAGTTCTTAAAATGAAAATAAAAAGTCCCCGAATGTTATCCTTTCTTAAAGGGAAATAGCACATATTTATCAGTAAATCTCAAGTTGACTTACCTGATTTCCTTGTAGTACATGTATGGCAGAAGCAGAACATCTTGTATTGCTTATGTTCACCTCCTGATCACTTGTTTGCTGGTTACCGAAAGGTAGACGTTTTCGTGCTGAAGTCACCATTGAGTGAGGTATTTTTCTTGGCTTTTCGGTGCTTTGGGGAGTATTTCTTGTCCGAAACCGTTTCTTGATGTTTTCTTCTCTACTTGTTTTCAGTTCGCGTTCAAGTTCCTTCTGTGTACTCTGGCAGGTCGAGGCAAATATTTCTAAGTTCTTGTTTAGGCGAAAAACTTTATCATGGCAACTTCTGCAACAAAACTTAGGAAGTTCGTCCCTCTCTAAGACTTCAATTTCACCTACTCAAAGAATAATCCTTTTTACCTGTAACGCCTTTCCACTATCGCTGAAAAAATAGTTTTTTCTCGTGGTCTTCTCACCACACAACCGGCACTTACTTTTTTAAATATCGTCTGTCAAATTTTAGGATCCTTCCATGTCTCTCGACGGCTAGGCTTTGTACATTATGCTAGCATTTTTTCGAGCATTTTAGTGAGGCAAAAGCATTGAGCATTATTCGAGCATTTTAGTGGCATTTTCTCGGAAAATTAATTTTTTGCGAGAAAATAAAATAGAAATTAACTTATAACATAGCGCGCGTGCTTACCCTATATAAGTCCTATTGAGCCGCTATGAACAAAATGTTTATTTACGCACGCCCGTGCGTAAATAAGATGACGTAAGCATTTTTTTTTACCTGGCTGCAGTGTTGTCGTCTTTTAAGCTACAGTGCAGTTTTCCTTCTCTATAAAATATGGAAGAAACCAGCGAAGAACTGCCCAATTTTTCTATCGGCATTGACCTTTTAGGTCCTGATCCAACAAGCAGCAAAAATAGAGCCGAATTAAAACAAACTCGCATGTTGCACGTTTCGCAAATTTGTCGGAAGACCAGCTGCAGCAAATTTTTGTCCGAAAAACATTCACTGGGAACAGAACAGACACCAACTGGTCATCAACAACATTAAGAGGTTAAATTTCCGTTTTTATTGTTGTTTTTAAATTTGTTATACACTTTTGTTATCT